AAAAAAAAAAAAAAAAAAAAAAAAATTTCGTGACATATATATAAAAAAGTGGTAAAATTTTAGTTTTAAACGTTAGTTTTAAACATGAATTATAAACATTCATGGCCTGTATGTCATTGGCATTGACTGTACTAGAGCCTCTTAAGTGAAGGAGTGGAGGACCCTTCTTTGTCCTCAACTGATCACAGATTGGGTGTATTTTACTGTATTTCATGTATGTCTCATTTATATAAAATACAGTAAAAATCAATTACTTTAAAAATGAGGCTGGGTGCAATGGCTCATGCCTGTAATCCCAACACTTTGGGAGGCCCAGGCAAGTGGATTCCATGAGGCCAGGGGTACAAGACCAGCCTGGCAACATGGCAAAACCCCGACTCTACAAAAAATACAAAAAAAATTAGACGAACGTAGTGGCGCATGCTTGTGTTCGCAGCTACTCAGGAGGCTGAGGCAGGAGAATCACTTGAGCCCAAGAGGTCGAGGCTATGGTGAGCTACGCTCATGCCACTGCACTCCAGCCTGGGTGACAAAATGAGACCCTGTCTCAAAAGAAAAAATTAAAAGTGAAATACAGACACACACAATACTACTCACCAGTCAAAAGAAGTGAATGATCCATACAGGCAACAACTTGGATGGATCTCAAGGGTATGATCCTTAGTGGAAAGGGAATTCTCAGGTTTCAAACTGTATGGCTCCATTGAGATAATATCCTTGAAACAGCAAAATTATAGATGTAGAGAACAGACCAGAGGTTGCCAGGGTGAGGGAAAAGGGGGTACAGCTATAAAGATAGGGGTAGCATGAGGCAGTTTCTGTGTGCTGAAAATCTTGATTGTGGTGGTTATACTATATATGAGATAAAATTGTGTAGATTTATATTCTACCCCTACTCCCCCATCTGTACCACGTACACACAAGTGAGTACATGTAAAATCTGAACAAGGTGAGCAGTTCCATTAACACTAATGTACAGATGTCATTTTCTGGTTTTGGAATTGCACTTTAGTTAGTAAGATGTTTACCGTTTGGGGAATCTAAATGAAGGTTATACAGGGCACTGTGTTATATTTGTAACTTCCATGAATCTGAAAACAAACAGAAACATGTATAGAAGACCCCACTCCCTGTTTTTCATTATTAGACTCAACAGACATAAAATTGTTACATTGATACAAAAGCTTGTAGTTGTTTACTCTCTTTCTATACTTAGCATGCTGGAGACTGAGAACAGTGGGAGGACACCAATCAGTGCCCACCCTAGGCACTGGTTCCTGAACTTGACTAGGAACTTTCACAAAAATGTTACTTTCCTTAACGTGTTTATTTTTATGATCACCTGTAATATCGGGGACTATCAATATCGGGGACTATCATAGAAGATTTTTACGTTTTTGCTGTTATCAAATAAGAAGACTCCATTATCTTTTTCAAAGTGAATGTCCCCTACTTTCAAAGTATTTGTAAGTTTTATTCTCCTCTTTTAAATTATCTTTATTGGTTCTCTTCCCCCATGATTTTTTTTATTAAGACAGCTTTATAATATAAAAAATTTGTATTGGCCAGGTGCGGTGACTCATGCCTGTAATCCCAGCACTTTGGGAGGCCGAGGTGGGCAGATTGCTTGAGCTCAGGAGTTCAGGACCAGCCTGGCTTGGTTGGGTGCTGTGGCTCACGCCTGTAATCCCAGCATGTTGGGAGGCCGAGGCGGGCAGATCGCGAGGTCAGGAGATAGAGACCATCCTGACTAACACGGTGAAACCCCGTCTCTACTAAAAATACAAAAATTAGCCAGGCGTGGCGGCAGGTGCCTGTAGTCCCAGCTACTTGGGAGGCTGAGGCAGGAGAATGACGTGAGCCCGGGAGGTGGAGCTTGCAGTGAGCCGAGATAGCACCACTGCACTCCATCCTGGGTTACAGAGTGAGACTCTGTCTCAAAAAAAAAAAAAAAGACCAGCCTGACCAACATGGTAAAACCTGGTCTCTACGAAAACTACAAAAATTAGGCGGTTATGTTGATGCACGCCTGTGGTCCCAGCTACTTGAGGGACTGAGGCAAGAATGTCGTTTTAGCCCAGGAGACAGAGGTTACAGTGAGCTGAGACTATGCCACTGCACTCCAGCCTGGGTGACCAAGTGAGACGCTGACTCAATAAAAATAATAGAAATTTATATCTTTGTCCAATTGTGTATATTTCCTTTTTTTTTTTTTTTTTTTTTTTGAGACAGGGTCTCTTTCTGTTGCCCAGAGTGCAGTGGTGTGATCATAGCTCACTGCAGCCTTAAACTCCTAGGCTCAAGTGATCCTCTTCAGCCTCCTGAGTAGCTGGGATCTAGGCATGTGCCACCATGCCCAACTAATTTTTTTCTTTTTATTTTTGTTATTTTTATTAATAAAAATATTGGGTGTGCCACCAATAAAAATACAAATAAATTTTTGTATTTTTAGTAGAGATGGGGTTTCACCCTGTTAGCCAAGTTGGTCTCAAACTCTGACCTCAGGTGATCCGCCCACTTTGACCTCTCAAAGTGCTGGGATTACAAACGTGAGCCACCGTGCCTGGCCTGTCTTTATTATTTTTCCAGATGAGGTCTTGTTATGTTGCCTCAGCTGGTCTCGAACTCCTGGCCTCAAGTGACCTTTCTGCCTCAGCCTCCTGAAGCAGTAGGATTGCCCATGAGAGCCACCACTCCTGACCATGTATGCTTCTCTCCATGTATTTTAATGTAATTTTATCATATATGTGCACTTTTGAATGCTACCCTTTTACTTAATTTTCATTTTTGAATGCTGCCCTTTTACTTCGATTATTAATATCGGCCAGGCATGGTGGCTTAAGCCTGTAATCCCAGCACCTTAGGAGGCTGAGGTGGGTAGATCACCTGAAGTTGGGAGTTCGAGACCAGCCTGACCAACATGGAGAAACCCCATGTCTACTAAAAATACAAAATTAGCCAGGCGTGGAGGGGCATGTCATCCCAGCTACTCGGGAGGCTGAGTCAGGAGAATAGCTTGAACCCGGGAGGTGGAGGTTGCAGTGAGCGGAGATCACGCCATTGCACTCCAGCCTGGGCAACAAGAGTGAAACTCCGTCTCAAAAAAAAAAAGATATATTAATATCAAGTCACATCAAATTTATATCTATACTCATTCTCTTACTAGTGAGTTTGTTGGGGTTTTTTTTCCTCAAAATTTTCTTGGATGTCTTTTTGCCTGCTTTCTGTATGTGTCTTTCCAGGCTCTGTAATCAATTTCATACTTATATCCCCCTCTATTTCCTTTACTTGCAGCTGTCACTACTTTCTGAATTTGTGATAAATCCTGTGTCCTCAGTTCCGTCGTCTTTGTTGTAGTTTTTTTTTATTTTTATTGTTCATAAATAATGGGACATTTCTGATTGGATGATTTTTCTAAATTTTTCCTTTAGGAATTTAAACTTTGGGAAAATGAGCTGCAGTATGTGGACCAACTTCTCAAAGAGGATGTGAGAAATAACTCTGTCTGGAACCAAAGATACTTCGTTATTTCTAACACCACTGGCTACAATGATCGTGCTGTATTGGAGAAAGAAGTCCAGTTAGTAATCTCCTTCACTTGCTCATTCATTACAAACATGTTTGCATGCCTACCATGTCTCAGGCACTGGGGATACAGCAGATCAAGATCCTACCTCATGGAACTAAAAGAAAGAGGACAGAGTACTGAGTGAAACATACGATGATAAATTTACAAATAATGTAGCATACCTCTACTTCGTTGTATCTTAAGTTTCTTGAAATATTGCTACTGGAGATTGAAAAGAAATCTTAATGTTATGAGGTATTGTTTAAGAAGCTTTATTTTAAAACCATCTCATTAAATTCCGTTGCATTTTAGATAGTTGTCCCTAGATGCCATGTTACCCTAGTGCAGGGTTTGGGGCCGGTAAGTTTTTGTTGCGGGGGGCTATCTTGTGTTTTGTAGGGTATTTAGCAGCATCCTGGCCTTAAAACAAAAATGTTTTCAGACATTGCCAAATGTCCTCTGAGCAGTAAAGTCACCCCCAAGTTGAGAACTAGTATACAAAGAGCTATTATTAGAGCTAGAAATTTCTGAATTGGCATCAATTTCTATATTGTATCCATAAACATTAGTAGCCGCGATTTTTGTGACCTTATTTGTCCATTGTGTGTGAGTGTCTGTTTCGTAATTTGAACAGGCTTGTTGTTTTCAGAGCCTGATGAGATGGGAGTCGTGATCTGAGTGTAAACATGTATGAGTGACTGTTGGGTGGAGCTGACTGGTATGGTGCATCTCCTCTCCTCCAAGCTCTTGATGTTGCCTGGATCGAGGCAGCTTGCTCTTCTTTTATCTGCTCTATACAGGATTCTGGTGACTTAAAATTTATGAAAGGTTTTAATCCATGTCTCACCTTAACATTCTGCTCTGGGCTTATATCTGGAGCGTGCACTACCCCTCAAGCACACTTTATGTTTTTTTTCTAGTGCTCTCCTATATAAAGCTCTACAGGCATACCTGATTTTTCGAGCCTTGCAGATACTATGTTTTTTGTTGTTTTTGTTTTAACAAGTTGAAGGTTTGTGGCAGTCTTGCGTTGAGCATGTCTGTCAGTGCCATTCTTTATCACTGCACGTGTTCACTTTGTGTCTCCGTGTCACATTTTGGTACTCCTCAGTATTTCATATTTTTTCGTAATCATTATGTCTGTTCCAGTGATTTGTGATCAGTCATCTTTGATCAGTCATCTATTGTAATTGTTTGGGGGTGCCACAAACTGCACCCATATAAAATAGCGAATATCACTGTTGCATGTGTTCTACCATCTCTCTCCCTCCCCTCAGGCCTCCCTATTCCCTGAGACACAACAATATTGAAATTAAGCCAATTAACCCTACAATGTCCTCTGAGTGTTCAAGTGAAAGGAAGAGTCACACCCTCTCACTTTAAATCAAAAGCTATAAATGATTAAGCTTAGTGAGGAACACATGTCAAAAGCTGAGATAGGTGCAAAGCTAGGTCACTTGCACCAAACACCAAACTCATAAGAAAGAGTTCTTGAAGGAAATTAAAAGTGCTGCTCCAATGAACACATGGATAAAACAGCATTATTGCTGATATGGAGGAAGTTTGAGTGGCCTGGATAAAAGATAAGACCAGCCACAGCATTCCCTTAAGCCAAAGCCTAATCCAGTGGAAGCCCTAATTCTCTTTAATTTGATGAAGACTGAGAGAAGTGAGGAAGCGGCAGAAGAAAACCTGGATGCTAGCAGAGGCTGGTTCATGAGGTATAAGAAAGAAGCCATCTCCATAGCATGGAAGTGCAAGGTGAAGCAGCAAGTGCTGCTGGAGAAGCTGCAGCGACTTCTCCAGAAGATCCAGCTCAGATCACTGATGAAGGTGACTACATGTAAACAGAAGGTTTTCAGTGTAGATGAAACAGCCTTCTATTGGAAGAAGATGCCATCTAGGACTTTTCATAGCCAGAGAGAAGGCACTGCTTCAAAGCTTCACACAGCTGGCTGAATCTTGTTAGGGTCTAAGGCAGCTGGTGACTTTAAGTTGAAACCAGTGCTCTATGACGATTCTGGAAATCCTAGGGCCTTTAAGAATTATGCTGAATCTCCTCCGCCTGTACTCTATAAATGGAACAACAAAGCCTGGATGACAGCACATCTGTTTACAGCATGGTTTACTGAATATTTTAAGCCCTCTTTGAGGTCTATTGTTCAGAAAAATTTCTTTGAAAATATGACTGTTCATTGACAATGGACCTGGTCACCCAAGAGCTCTAATGGAGATGTGCAAGGAGATGCTGTTTTCAAGCCTGTGAACACAACATCCGTTCTGCAGCCCATGGATAAAGGAGTCATTTTGATTTTAAAGTCTTACTATTTAAGAAATAAATTTTGTAAGGCTATGAGCTGCCATAGATAGTGATTCCTCCAGTGAATCTGCGGAGTCGATTGAAAACTTTGTGGGAAGAATTTACCATTCTAGATGCTATGAGGAATATTCGTGATTCATAGGAGGAGGTCAAAATATCAACATTAACAGGAGTTTGGAAGAAGTTGATTCCAGCCCTCATGGATGACTTTGAGGGGTTCAAGACTTTAGAGGAAGAAGGAACTGCTGCTGTGGTGGAAACAGCAAGGAAACTAGAATTAGAAGTGCAGCCTGAAGATGTGACCGAACTGCTGCATCATGACAATACTTGATCAGATAAGGAGTTGCTTCTTACGGATGAGCAAAAGAAGTAGTTTCTCAAGATGGAATCTAATCCTGGTAACGACGTTGTGAAATCACATTGTTGAAATGACAACAAAGGATTTTTAATATTGTAAATATTACCTAAACTTAGTTGATAAAGCAGCAGCAGAATATGTGAGAGGATTGACTCCAGTTTAGAAAAGTTTTACTGTAAAATGCTATCAGACAGCGTCACATGCTACAGAGAAATCTTTTACTGTTGTCTTATTTTAAGAAATTGCCACAGCCACCTCATCCTTCAGCACCCAGCACCCTACCCTGATCAGTCAGCAGCCATCAACATGGAGGCCAGACCCTCCACCAGCAGAAAGATTACGACTTGCTGAAGGCTCAGATGATCATTAGCATTTTTTAGCAATAAAGTATTTTTTAATTGAGGTATGTACATTGTTTTTTTAGATATGATGCTATTGCATACTAGACTACAATATAGTGTAAACATAATTTGTATGTGCTGGGAAACAGAAAAGTCGTGTGACTTGCTTAATTGTGATAAAATCGCTTTGTTGAACCTTCGATATCTGTAAGGTATTCCTGTACTGTTCAATATGGTAGCCACTAGCCACATACAGCTATTTAAGTTTCAACCAGTGTGATTATAAAAAATTAAAAATAGAGTTCTTTCATTGCACATGTCCTATTTCGGGCATTCAGTACCCGCATGTGGCTAGTGACTACCATATTGGACAGCACATACAAAGAACATTTCCATCATCCCTGGCAGTTTTATTGAACTTTATTGGTCTAAAGATTGACAGTAGTTAGTGGTAACAAAGTATTTTAAAAGTTGAATATGAAGAGTTTTCAAAATGCAAACTTATAGCCTTTTCAGAGGCAGATCACTGGCTTCCTATTGCCAAATAGAAACAGAAGTATTTAAAATGTGAAGAGTAGCTGTAGGTATCTAGAATTTACAGGTTGTTAACTTTTTTTCACTCTAAGCATACACAGATGTACATAATTATTTTGTCATCTTTTTCCTTTTATTACAAAAGTAATACAGTGTAGTTATGGGGGAAATTGTACCGAATTCTATAAAGTAAAACGTCAAAGTCTTTTACTGTTCTTCATCCCACATCCCATTTTCCAGAGTGAGGTATAATTGGGTGAATTTTTCCAAACTTTGTAAATACACTTGCAAACATTTATACACAGCAACCTAATAATTATATAGACATTGCCTTTTCACTTAATGTGTCATGTCCCTTTTTCTAGACTATGAGTGCATAGTCTTCTAGTACTACCAATAACAGCATTTGTCAAGCATTTACTATATGCTACTAATTCTAACAGCTCTCTGAGACACTTCATGAAGAACTTGAGGTTCCAGGTAATTCTGTAATTTGCCCAAGAGCACATAATTTATGGGACCAGAATTTGAAGTGAGGTAGCCTGACTTCAAAGTTCATCGGTCTTTTTGTTTGTTTGTTTTCCTAAGAGACAGGATTTCGCTCTGTCACCCAGGCTGGAGTGCAGTCACGGATCATAGCTCACTGCTGCCTTGAGCTCCTGAGCGCAAGGAATCCTCTCACCTCAGCCTCCGAGTAGCTGGGACTACAGGCATGTGCCACTGCACCCAGCTAAGTGTTAAAATTTTTTGTAGAGATGAGGTCTCATTATGTTGCCCAGACTAGTCTTGATCTCCTGGCCTCAAGCAGTCTTCCTGCTTTGATCTCTGAAAGCGCATGTTTTAACCATAAAAATAGGTAATGCTTTAGTACACATGTGCATAAATAAAAATTTAGATATTGCCAAGATGAAATTAAGAATCTTAAATAAGGACCAGCTAAGACCTGCAGGGACATGGTTTCGCAAATAATTGGAAACAAGTCATGTAAAAGTAGTTGGAAAAATACTTTTATCATGTTGAGTGAGTTTATTATTACTCTGTGGAAAAAAAAAATTTACAGTAACAGCGCTGCAGCAGAACCATGACTACCAAGCTTGTCAGTGACTTACTCATCTGAACAATTATGTGGTGAAGCACGTTCTGTGGCTCCCTTGGGATTTGTAATCGAGTCTGAATTATATTTAATCTGTTTAAGGGGAAGACAAAGGTATGGAGCACCCATTTTGACAGGGAATCACATCACAGTTTACTAGTCATCTTGCTTTGAAATACAAGAAATACGTTGTGTTGATTTTTCATTTTTATTCTTTGTCTATGTAATTTCCATGCCATTTTTTAATGATAGCTAAAGATTATTGGGACGTAAGTAGAGCTTAGACTGCTTTTCCAATGTTGCTTTACCAGTAAATGGAAAGTCTTCTTTTAGCTGATGTTTTCTTCAAAAGGAAAATCTTCCATATTATTTAAAGGAAATATTTTATGTTACTTTTATTCCTATTGTGAATTGAAGCTTTTAGATTAGTTTTGTGTCCTTCCCTAGAACTGAATTGACAGCTGCAGTCTTAAGGTATTCTCTGATTTAAATATGACCTAGAGAGGTGCCACAGTGCACTAAGAGAGATGCTTACACAAGTGAAAGTGTGTTTCCAAAGTTGCACCACAATCTTAGTAAAACTGTGTCTCGGCCGGGCGCTCTGGCTCACGTCTATAATCTCAGCACTTTGGGAGGCCGAGGCAGGCAGATCACAAGGTCAGGAGTTCGAGACCAGCCTGGTCAATATGGTGAAACCCTGTCTCTACTAAAAATACAAAAATCAGCTGGGTGTGGTGGCGGGTGCCTGTTGTCCCAACTACTGGGGAGGCTGAGGCAGGAGTATGACTTGAACCTGGGAGGCGGAGGTTGCAGTGAACTGAGATTGTGCCACTGTGCTCCAGCCTGGGTGACAGAGCAAGACTCCGTTTCAAAAAAAAAAAAAAAAGATGTATCTCATCCTTGCACTGTTCTTTTAAAATTGTATATATATATTTTTTCTTGCAGATACACTCTGGAAATGATTAAACTAGTACCACATAATGAAAGTGCGTGGAACTATTTGAAAGGGTAAGAGGTTGTTTTTGCTTTTTTTATACAAAAAATGAAGTGGCTATATAATGCATCATGGAGTATATTCCATAATCAGATTCCAAAAGGATAGTAAAGAATTTTTCATTTTTCTGGACCTAAGAGTGGAAGTGCCATAGTGTTATGAAAACTCCCAGCCTCTACTCTTCTCTGCACCCCCCAAGCACATACCAACGCCATTTTTAGAATAATCCACAAGTAATTAATGCCATTTTAATTGTATTTACGAATTCTGTAGTCTTTATATCAAAGAATGGAGCATACACACACCCAGGCTCTGGTTGGCTGAGGAACACAGTAAAGCAGGGTAGTTTACGGGTAGATTTTGCCAGTGGGCAGCCAGCCTTTCTGTTTTCATTTCTAGAGATCTCCACCTTCAAGTTAATCTCAACTAGAAAAGGTTTCACTTGCCTGGCCACTGTCATAACTAAGCTCCTTGTTGAACATAAGAGGTCTTCAAGGAAACTAGGCTCAAAGAGCACAAAATATGGAATCAGTCACCCTTGGAGATGTGTCAGGGGAGGTGCCTATGGTATCTGAAGAGCTTGAGGGATGAGAAGCCATCTCAAGAGAAGATGAGGGCTGGGCATGTTAGCTCACACCTGCAATCCCAGCACTTTGGGAGGCCAAGGTGGGCGGATCACTTGAGGCTAGCAGGTCGAGACCAGCCTGGCCAACATTGCAAAACCCCGTCTCTACTAAAAATACAAAAATTAGTTGAGCATGTTGGTGCACACCTGTAATCCCAGCTACTTGGGAGGCTGAAGCACGAGAGTTGCTTAAACCTGGAGGCAGAGGTCAGAGTGAGCTGAGATCACACCACTGTGCTCCAGCCTGGGCGACAGAGTGAGACCCTGTCTCAAAGAAAAAAAAGAAACAAGAACATCTCTCCTGGTTTTGCCCTTCACTTTTTAAGATGATTTATTCTGTGTGTTGTACAGTTTAAGTTATAAATGAATACTTTTAAACTTCATTTTTAAAAACTTTTTTTACTTAGCTCTTAATTATCCTTTTTTTTTTGGAGACAGGATCTCACTCTGTTCTCCAGGCTGGAGGGCAGTGGCATGATCATGGCCCACTGCAGTCTCGATCTTCTAGGCTCTAGTGATTCTCCCACCTCAGCCTCCCAAGTAGCTGAGACTATAGGTGCCACCACTAGGCATGGATGATTTTTAAAAAAATTTTAGTAGAGATGAGATCTTGCTGTTTTACCCAGGCTGATCTTGAACTCCTGGGTTCAAGTGTTCCATCTGCCTGTGCTTCCCAGAGTGTTGTAATTACAGGCATGAGCCACTGCACCTGGCCAGTTCTTAATTAACTAATGATCTATGATAAGACTCATGTAATGTAAAAGTTTCATGATAGTTTCAGCCTCATTAATTCAAAATAACTCTCCTTTTCTTGTTTGTGTTTCAGGGTTTATTTTCTCTTGATCTTTCTACTGCTTTTCTTCCTTCACAAAATCAAGTGTTTGTTTTTTGTTGTTATTTACAGGATTTTGCAGGATCGTGGTCTTTCCAAATACCCTAATCTGTTAAATCAATTACTCGATTTACAACCAAGTCATAGTTCCCCCTACCTAATTGCCTTTCTTGTGGATATCTATGAAGACATGCTAGAAAACCAGTGTGACAATAAGGAAGACATTCTTAATAAAGCATTAGAGGTAAGCTGGTGGGGCTCAGTGCTATTGTTTTTGGTATCTGAGAATTGGTCGGCCCAATGCCACTAATATCCATGTCCCCTTTCAACATCGTTACTCAGAATTCAGTGCAGGGCTATTTCTGGTTAGGGGCAGCATTGATATCACTTGGCAACACAGCCTGTGACTCCTAATAGTGTGTCTCATTTGAATGTGATCCAAGTTAAATTGTGTTGGCTCAAAGGCATTTGCCCTTGAGATTGGATTACATATTACTTTAATTTTTATTTTTCATTTTCAGTTATGTGAAATCCTAGCTAAAGAAAAGGACACTATAAGAAAGGAATATTGGAGATATATTGGAAGATCCCTTCAAAGCAAACACAGCACAGAAAATGACTCACAAACAAATGTACAGCAATAACACCATCCAGAAGAACTTGATGGAATGCTTTTATTTTTTATTAAGGGACACTGCAGGAATTTAAAACGAGAGTGGTCCCTCCCTTTGCCTGTGGTGTGAAAGTGCATCACACAGGTAATTGCTTTTTAACAAGAACTGATGCTCCTTGGGTGCTGCTGCTACTCAGACTAGCTCTAAGTAATGTGATTCTTCTAAAGCAAAGTCATTGGATGGAGGAGGAAGAAAAAGTCCCATAAAGGAACTTTTGTAGTCCTATCAACGTGTAATCTAATCCCTTAGCATCAACTCCTCCCTCAGTGGTACACGCATCAAGATTTGTAGCAGTAATAACTGCGGGTCACTTGTATGTAATGGATATGAGGTAGCTGAAGTTTGGTTCAGTAAGCAGGGAATACAGTGGTTCCATCAGAGCTGGTCTGCACACTCACATTATCTTGCTATCACTGTAACCAACTAATGCCAAAAGAATGGTTTTGTAATAAAATTATAGCTGTATCTAAAAACAGTGTCACAGTAGTTTGATTTTTTAATAGCATTTATATATTATACAAGACATATTGTCTCAGAAAAGCAGTTAGAAAGAAAATACTGCTATAAAACTATAAACTAGAAACATGATGTGTTGGAGGAAATGTTAAAATGTAAATTGGTCAGTTCTTGACTGAAAGTGACAAAATCCACTCAAGGTAGTTTAAACCCAAAGGGTTTATTCAGGTATATAAATATCTCACAGAAGAATTGCCTGATGTTTTAGAAGTACATTCCCGAACCATACTACACAACTGGACCATCCCATTGCTGCTGCCTGTGCCCGAATCAGGAAACTGCTGGATGAGGAATGAGGAAGCCACAACCCTGGCTGCCAGCTCCAGGACTGTGCTGTCTCTGTACGTTCCTTGCAAAGCACATCTGCTGCTTTTCCCATGTAGTGTGGTTCCAAGTTAAAGGCTCACTGCAGTGCATCTGATTGGAAGGAACCAACAGGATGTCTTAAAATCTTAACTACAGAGGAATCTGGAAAGTGTAGTTTGTAGCTTTCCAGCATGTATGATGCAGGATGCCATGCCAGGAAAGAGTTGGGAGCGGTTAGCAAGCTAGCTTGCTGTACCTGCACTTAATTCAATCTCACTTTATTTATTTTTATATATTGGTGTTTTTTTTTACATGGAGTCTCACTCTGTCACCCAGGCTGGAGTGCAGTGGAGTGATTGCGGCTTACTGCAACCTCCACTGCCGGGCTCAAGTAATTCTCCTGCCCCAGTTTCCCTACTAGCTGGGATTATAGGCGCCCGCCACCATGTCTGGCTAATTTTTGTATTTTTAGTAGAGACGGGGTTTCACCACGTTGGCCAGGCTGGTCATGAACTCCTGACCTCAAGTAGTACGCCTGCTTCGGCCTCCCAAAGTGTTGGGATTACAGGCATGAGACACCAGGTCCGGCCTCAGTCTCACTTTATCTGTAATTTTTGTTCAATGTCAAAGCACCAAAGTACGACTAAGGAAATCATATAGAGTTAAATAGTCATCCTTTCTCAAGATAAATTTAGGAAATAATATTTTAATACTTGTGGAAGAAAATATATGTAGTGAGTGTTATTTCTAACATTTTACATGTTTTTGTTGTTTTTAGAATCCAAAAATCTCAATTTTATTTTTGAAGCTGCCATAAAGTGCCATTTCCATGTAGACCATTTCAAAGGTGTCATAAGGATCAAAAGCTACATAGAGAAGTTATCACAAGATAGCCATTACTCTCAGCCGGGCGCAATGACTCATGCATGTAATCCCAGCACTTTGGGAGGCCGAGGCGGGCAGATCATTTGAGGTCAGGAGTTCAAGACCAGCCTGGCCAACATGGTGAAACCCCTGTCTATACTAAAAATTCAAAAATTAGCCAGGCGTGGTGGCAGGCACCTGTAATCCTAGCTACTTGGGAGGCTGAGACAGGAGAATTGCTTAAACCCAGTAGGTGGAGATTGCAGCAAGCTAAGATTGTGCCATTACACTCCACCCTGGGCAATAGAATGAGACTTAGTCTCAAAAAAAAAAAAAAAAAAAAAAAATTAGCCTCAGAAACCGTAATCGGTGACTCAAAACTGATTGGATTTGGGACTTTGGACTCAACAGCTTATACAGACAGCTTAATAAAAAGCATAATGAGGCCGGGCGGAGTGGCTCATGCCTATAATACCAGCACTTTGGGAGGTCGAGGCGGGAGGACTGCCTGAGCCCTGGGATTCAAGACCAGCCTGGGCCCATCTCTACAAAAATTTTTTTAAAAATTATTAGCCAAGAGTGGTGGTGAGTACCTGTAGTCCTAGCAGCCCGGGAGGCTGGGATGGGAGGATCACTTGAGCCAGGGTGGTGCCACTGCACTCCAGCTTTGGCAACGGGAGTGAGACCCTATCTCAAAAAAAAAAAATGCATAATGGAAGTTTATTAATTTACACTTGGGTCACTATGAAGCAGACCAAACAGTTATGTCAGCCTAGCCACTTGGCATTTTTTGCCTGACGTTTAACTGTGTAGCAATTCGTTAACCAAAAGGTTGCTTAGTGAGCACTGAATCAGGTGAGGAGGCTCCGTGACTTAAAGGCAGAATGACTTTAGGCTCTAATCAACCTGAGGGCGATCTCCTAAGGGCAACTGGACACAGGACTTGCAGTGCAGTCATTTCATTAGACCAAAGTGAGGTCTATGGAAAGGCCTGCTAACTCAAAACTATCTGCCTAATAACTGTTATATTTGCATTGGTACAAAAACAGTGGTGGGTAAAACTGCTGGTGCCACAGCATAAAGCAAGGCAGTGGTACTCAGAAAAATGAGTGGTACTCTTGCTTCCCTGCTGTGCATATAGTGAAGAATGTCCTTGATTAGTCATGTATATTTTTATTCACAACACCCAACCTGTATTTTAACGTGACTGAATGAAAGTATGCATAATACATATCCATATGATTGTCTTGAGGAAAAGCATTTGTGCAGCTGTGTAAGCTGTGGGCTGTACAGGACGCATTTTCATGGAACACCATTTACTTAAACAACAAATACACTGGTTATTCATTCTTGGATGGTTGGTATATAGTCTCTCAAAAACGAATGATAGGCCGGGCGCGGTGGCCCACCCCTGTAATCCCAGCACTTTGGGAGGCCAAGGCAGGCGGAACACGAGGTCAGGAGATCAAGACCATCCTGGCTAACATGGTGAGACCCCATCTTTACTAAAAATACAAAAAAAAGAAAAAAGAAAAAAAAGGCATGGTGGCGGGTGCCTGTAGTCCCAGCTACTCAGGAGGCTGAGGCAGGAGAATGGCATGAACCTGGGAGGAAGAGGTTGCAGTGAGCTGAGATCGCACCACTGCACTCCAGCCTGGGCTACAGACCAAGACTCTAAAAACAAACAAACAAACAAAAATGAATGAAATGAGGCTGGGCACGGTGGCTCATGCCTGTAATTCCAGCACTTTGGGAGGCCAAGGCAGTGGGATCACTTGAGATCAGGAGTTGGAGATCCGCCTGGCCAACATGGTGAAACCCCATCTTTACTAAAAATATAAAAATTAGCTGGGTGTGATTGCTATTCAGGAGGCTGAGGCATGAGAATCGCTTGAACCTGGGAGGCAGAGGTTGCAGTGATCCAAGATCACACCACTGCACTCCAGCCTGAGCGACAGAGTGAGAAAGTGTCTCAAAAACTGTCTTTAAAAAAGAAACCAATGAAATGAGTTTGTCACTTCAAGGAAAACAACAGAACGTTGCCAATGATAAAATGTGAGCTTTCCTTTTAGTTTGTTTGTTTGTTTTTTTTTTTTTTGAGACGGAGTTTCGCTCTTGTTGCCCAGGCTGGAGTACAATGGCATGATCTCGGCTCACTGCAGCCTCCACCTCCCGGGTTCAAGTGATTCTCCTGCCTCAGCCTCCTGCGTAGCTGGGATTATAGGTGTTTGCCACCATGCCCAGCTAATTTTTTGTATTTTTAGTAGAGACGGGGTTTCCTCATGTTTGCGAGGCTGATGTCGAACTCCAGACCTCAGGTAATCCACCAGCCTCAGCCTCCCAAAGTGCTGGGATTGCAGGTATGAGCCACCATGCCGGGCTAAAACTGTGAGCTTTCAAGTGACAATTTTAGGCCAGACATGGTGGCTCATGCCTGTAATCCCAGCACTTTAGGAGGCTGAGGCAGGTGGAACACTTGAGGTCAGGAGTTTGAGACCAGCCTGGCCAACATAGTAAAACCCCATCTCTACTAAATATACAAAAACTAGCTGGACGTGGTGGTGCGCACCTATAATCCCAGCTACTTGGGGGGCTGAGGCAGGGGAATCACTTGAACCCAGGAGGCAGAGGTTGCAGTGAGCCGAGATTGCACCACTGTACTCCAGCCTGGGCAACAGAGTGAAATTTCATCTCAAAAAAAAAAAGAAAAAAAAAGGTATTAATTCCCAGGGGTTTGGAGATTTTCCTGTTATCTTCTGTTATTTCTAGTTGTTTTTATTTTGTTTTAGTGGTTACTCCAGGGGTTACAAAATATTCAACTTTTCACAGCCTATTTAGAATATTTTGTCACTTCAGTTGGCATATGGAAACATTACCACCATATGTCTCCTTACCGTTCACCATTTCTTACATTGAAAGCCCCATCAGATAATTTTATAATTCTTTTTGTATTAAACCACCAAACATAGTTTAAAGAACTCAAGAAAAGGAGGACAGTGAATTGTATTTACCCAGTTATTTGTATTCTCTGTTATTCTTTCATTGCTGTTAACATTCTGTCTAAATAACTTTCTCTTTTTTTGAGACAGAGTCTCACTCTCGCCCAGGCTGGAGTGCAGTGGCATGATCTCGGATCACTGCAATCTTTGCCTCCCAGGTTCAAGCAATTTTCGTGCCTCAGCCTCACGAGTAGCTGGGATTACAGGCGTGTGCCACCACGCCCATCTAATTTTTGTATTTTCAGTAGAGATGGGGTTTGGCCAGGCTGGTCTCCAACTCCTGACCTCAGGTGATCTGCCTGCCTCAGCTTCCCAAAGTGCTGGGATTACAGGCTTGAGCCACCAAAGAACTTTCTTTTAGCAGTTCAGTTAGAGTAGGCCTGCAGGCTACAAATTCTCTTAGTTTTCCTTCTTCTGAGTTTATTTCAAGGTTATTCCTGAAGGATGTTTTCACTGCATGTGGAATTCTGGGCTTGCAATTCTTTTCTTTCAGCACTTGAAAAACGTTGTGCCACTTTGGTCTTCGTGATCTCAGAGGATAAATTCACTGTCATTAGGATTGTGGGTCACCTAGAGCTTGTGGCATTTCTCTTTGGTTGCTTTCAATTTTTTTCCTTGTCTTTATTTTTCAGCAGTTTGATTTTGATGTGTCTGGGCATGGATGTCTTTGGATTTGTGTTTGGGTTTGCTCAGTTTTTTGAATCTGTAGGTTGGTGTTTCTTTCCCAAACTTGGGAAGTTTTCAGCCATTATTTCTTCAAAAACTTTTTAGTGCTTTCTTTCTCATCTGC